GGCCGGCACGGGGGCATTGGCGTTTCGGGGTGGTGGGGCGGACAGGCACCCCCCAGCCGTGCGGCAAGCGGCGACAGGCACCGCAACAGGAGTCACCTGGCCTGCAGCTCGTGACACCCCACCCGTGGCTCCACGGCGGAGCTGGGTGAAGCCAGCCTCAATCAATGGTGAAACCGCAGCAGAAAATGAGGCGAGAGGCAGAGCGGGGGCAAGCAGGCGTGGTGGTACGCGGGGCGCGGGGCGGGGGGGGGTTGTGCTTTTGCACCACGGACAGCTCGGCATACGGGCTCCGCGCTACCAAGGTCTTGAATGAGCTTGTTCAAAGCTAGGGCAGATATGGATGGCCTGTATCTGTAACATGGGATGCGTTCATTGTGTTCACCTCGTTTTCTTCATGAAGCTGGTGAAGGGTCTGGAGCGCAGGCCTTATGAGGAGCGGCTGAGGGAACTGGGGTTGTTTAGCCTGGAGAAGAGGAGGCTGAGGGGAGACCTTATCGCTCTCTACAACTACCTGAAAGGGGGGTGTACTGAGGTGGGTGTTGGTCTCTTCTCCCAAGTAGTTGGTGATAGGACGAGAGGAAATGGGCTCAAGCTGCGTCAGGGGAGGTTTAGACTGGAAATTAGGAAAAAATTCTTTACGGAAAGGGTGGTCAAGCATTGGAACAGGCTGCCCAGAGAGGTGGTGGAGTCACCATCCCTGGAAGTGTTCAAAAAACGGGTAGACGTGGCACTTTGGGACATGGTTTAGTCTAGTCTACCCTTGATTGGTTTAGTGTGGACTTGGTAGTGTAGGTTAATGGTTGGACTGGATGATCTTAAAGGTCTTTTCCAACCTAAACGATTCTATGATTCTATGATTCTGTTCCCTTCAGGTTCTTGGTCCTAATGGCAGCAATTCTTTATCCCGATATTTTGCCTGGGCTCATGTCAAGATTACCCACTAAGTTTTGTCTTCAATAGAACAGTAACATTTCCCCAGTTTTGTGGAGTTTCTGTGGGATTCCGGTAAATATTACAAAAATCTGTATGCTACACGGCCTCTGAACCACCTGCACTTGCAGTTTTTAAAGTGCTTGTTGCCTACAGAATTTAATAGCTTTCTTGATTGCCACAGGTCTGGAAAAAACCACCCTCAGCCTCATTTGATGCTTCTGCTACTTTTAGAAAAGAAAAAAAAAAAAAATCAAAATGCTTGCCTTTCCTGCATCAGCATTTCAAGGCAACCAAAACGACCAACCCTCCCTTCAAACTTCTCCACCTAGTGAAAGGTGTTTGGCGTGCCTGCCTTTTATGTGTATCGATATCTCCTTCTTTGCTCCTGACCACTCTGCTGACCTGCTTATTGGTTTCAGTCAGCCACTCCTTGCTCAGTTTTCTACCTGTCATAATTGTTAACATAGTAATTGTGTTTCCTATTAATGATATATTATTTAATTTTAATTACTGCCTTTAATAAGCCAGCGAACCACGGTGAGCTGTTAGCCAGCTGCTTCTTTTCCTAATTAGTGACGCAGCCTTTTGGCTCGCAAATAAGGCTGTCGGAGAACTCTTAGGTTGGCATCCAGGCTCTGGGTGCCTTTGCCGCCGCGTCCCAGCGAGGGGGACGTCACCCGCGCGGGCTGCAGGCACCTGGCAAGCCGGGGAGCCTTCAGCGGAGCCTGGCAGCAAAGCAGTGAGGCTTTCACAGCTAAGGAAATCCAAGAGGAAAGGGGGGGGTAGATCCAAGGGGATTTGCTAGTCTGCGTGAGCTGGAACTGGGAACTGCTCCTGGCTCTTCCTCACCGCAGGCAGAAATGGGTGTGTTTATTCTCCGGCGCCCCGAATGTCTCTGGTACTCAACGTACCGTTTTGTGATGAGCGGTCGAGGAACGTCGGGTAGATGGAGAAAACAAGAACACAAATCAAAAGCCGACCGCTGGCAACTCGGCGTGACAGCTTCTTACTACGAAGAGTTGCCCAGTGCCAGTGCGTCCGCACGGTGAGCCGAGATGAGGAGGGAACGGGTCAGCATTTCCTACAGGTAACGTAGGAAATTTCCAGCAAACTGGTTGGGCTAAATACCCTGGCGATGCCTGGGCCAGCAGACTCGCCACCTCCACGTTTCACCTCCTCCCTTCTCGGGCAGGTGCGGAGGGCAGCGACGCCCAACAGCACTCTGTCATGGGGTCAGCGGGGCGACGGGCTGGCGCGAGGGCACACGCACCGTTACAGCGGGGCGGCCTGTGCCGGGGGAACTGTTCCCAAAACCGTTCCCACACGCGCCCTCATGGAACGGGGCTGCGGCATTCGCAGAAAGCCAGCCGTAAGCCCCCTCCGTCCCCACGGCCGGCCCCGTGGGGGCTCAGGCGCCAACAGCAGAGGCACCGGGAAACCCATTTTATTAATTTAGTTTCAACGATAGCTGTACGCCTCGTTCACCTCGAGGTTTGTTCGGGGCTTTTGGGGGCAGCGTAGCAGCACTTTTGGGGGCAGTGTGGTAACCACCTTGCTGAAGAACATCAAGGTGTTTTAAGAAGTTCAGCAGACATGAATCCTTTAATACAGAAACGGGCATTAAAATGGATTCCGAAGACCTGCCTGCCACCCCTGCCTTTCACTTCTGCAGACTTTCTCGTAAAGGTATGTTTCGACCAAATGAGGGATTGAATCACCCGCACCCCAGTACTACACAAAATGAGCCGAAAAACGGGGAGCAGAAAAACAAGCTAAGGTGCATTAGAGTTCAAAACGGCCGTGTCCCTCAGAACAACGCTCAATCACAGTACTGGCATCAAATAGACTAAACGTTCATTAACAGGAAAATATTTTGAATTTTATTTTTTCACGTTATTATCAAGTACACAATTACAATAATGTCACACATCCCTATATGATTCTATGTATTTTGTTTTTTTCTTTTGTCTTTTTTACAAAGTGTACAGAGGGAAGGACGTATACAATATTTAACAGGGTATTTTCTACAGAACAATAATTTATATTATGTCCTTGTAAAAATCTGTACCTTTTTTAAACATTAAACTGAAACATCCATTTTATAGCATTTGCTAAGCAAATTATTTAAGAATTAAAACTAACCTGTAACTAATGTCAGTACATTAACAATAACTATAATTTCATTTTCTCTTTATACAGACAAATACATTTTACAAAATCCACTTGACGAAACCCTTAATTATTAAAAAAAAGTTTCAACATTGTGCTTTAAAAAAAAAAAAAACTGTGTATGATTCCAGGCTACGTAAGAGAAAGAAAACGTGTAAAATTGTGTTCTTTGTCTTTCAGCTTATTTAACAAAATAAAGTTCAAAATGGCTAAAATCCTCGGCAACGCTATGGGAATTTATGCAGATTTTGTACGCTTTGCAGGTTTCCAGTTAGAAAACGCCTGAACGCAAGAAGGGCAGGGGGGAAAAGTCGCAGGAGGGTACCCTGCGAGACGCGAATGGAAAATCTCTGCTGGGTTTTACTGCATCTGATTTGGCAATCGGCAGGCGACAGCCAGCCAGCTACGGCCACGTAGGAAATCCACTGACTTCACCGGGGATTTCAACGAAGGCAGAGTGCAGCACATCTAGGTGTTACACGCTCAAGGTTCACAGCCCGTTAGTAGCAACGTTACACAAGAGCACGCTGGACAAGTCTGGGGGCACCGTCAAGCAGGCATCAAAAGAAAAAAAAAAACATTATGCAACAAAGGTAGTGACATGGCATCCGACTCTCCTGAACTGCAAATGGAACACAAATATTTCAGCTTACAGTGAAACAGAAGGGCTGAGCAGTAGGAGCAGGGCTCGGTAACAAAACAAAACAAAATACAAAAGGCTTAGAAGAAGCACATCCGAAAGGAAACCTTCGTCCCTTTATCACCCCAAACCTGAAATCATCGCTAAAATTCCTGTTCCATTTCAATAGGAAGTCTGCCTGCCTAGAAACAAGAGTGGACACCGGGCCAGGCGCTGAGCCTTTGCCATTAGTGAATTGCTGGTTACAAATCTATCCTAAGCTGGCAGGCAGCCAGGTCCGAATCCTGCAATTCATCCTCAACCAGTGGCTTCGGCGGGAATTTGAGCAAGGGGAGCGGGGCCGGGTCCTAAAATCTCACATGTAATTAAACGGTTTGGGTTTTTTTGCTCCACAGTTGTTGTTAAGGTACATGACTTCATGCTTGGTATGTTTACGCTGCAGTTAGCAAATGATATGGCGCTATTTTATAATAGTCTTCAGGTGGCAAAATTGCATATAATAATTGTAATGTTCTCCCAGCTGTTTATAAACAGATTAAAAGAACTGGGTTAATTCTGGATACTGTACTAATTAATAAACAGCAGCTTAACACGGCTGCTAATGGCTTAGGAAAAACATTCAATTTAGAAACTGTTCCGTTACTATCAGAAGTTACTTTTCGTATTAAGGATGTCTACATGAAAACATCTCTACTGCTCATGAACGCATCTGCTCCATTCCACCCTCCTCTGAAGCTCTCGCTGTAAATGTCTCGTTTCCAAAATCCAGGCACCTCTTGGTCTTAAATTTTATTCTAAAACAACTCACAATAACAATGTGACTTGATCCACAAACTGTTCTTTCCAAGAAATACTAATATACATAAAAGCACTAAGTTTGAGGTACGTTTACCGGCACGTACAGACAGTTGTGATCTATTAACTCTGCAAATGGAACAAGAGTATTTTACGTTTCCAATGTTAAGACAGCAGTGAACTGAAGAAAACCCAACTCATTTTGCAACAGGCAAAACCTTTCAAAGACAAAGAAGCACAGAACAATAAACATAATATTTGAGCATACTTTTAAATTCACCAGAGAAAGATAACAAATGCCCCAAATCACTGTTTAAAAATTTTTCTCTCTGAAACCTGAATTAAAATGCAGAATAGTTTTCCGCAATAAAGTTAGACGTGTTAACTCCTCAAATGGAAAATGGTTAACCTGCCACAAAGTCTGTATAGTCAAAACAAGACAATCAGGCGGGCCCGAGTGACTTTATCTTCAGCATCACAATTCCCCGTTTTGTACACACCTCTGACAATTTCATCAAAGAGAAATTTCATATTTTTAAAATTCACGACAAAACTGCATTAACATGGACACTGTGAGTATCAACGAGGTCAGTAAGATAAATATACTTAAATAAACTATTACGGTTGAAAAATTCAGTAAGAGACAGGGTTTATTTCATTAAATGCAACTTTATTGTTGCCATCTTTTCTTCATTTATTAAACAAACTGAATAGAATTCAGAACACGCTATTGAACAAAAGGTATAAAAGTCAACTAGAAGCAATAATCCTATTTTTATACAGCAACAAATCAAATGCACAGTATGTTTTTTTTGTTGGTTTTTTTGTGTGTGAACGCAGGTGATTGGCTTTAAAATAAGCTAACTGCCCGAAAGGCAAAATTCCTTTGTAATTCCAGCCGTAAGTCTGTGAAAGAGACTTTAAGGCAGCCCAACATCTTTATGATGCCGCATAATGTGCTGGTTCTTCTCTGAAGGCCTTCGGAAACCTTTCTTGCAATACTCACAACGGTGAGGGTAGTCTTTTGTATGAATGGAAATAACATGCCGTTTGAAGCCTGAGGCGTCTGTAGTGCTATACTCACAGTACTCACATTGATAAACTTTCCTGCCACTGTGTGTTTTCATGTGTTTTTTCAGCTCGTTTTGTTGCCTAAAGCCCTTTCTACATCTCTTGCACCTGAATGGAAGATCCTTTGTGTGAACTGAGAGTATGTGGCGACTCAGAATGAACGGATCTGCAATCTTAAAGTCACAATGTCTGCATTGGTGCAATTTTTTACCCTTGTGAGCCGCCACGTGTTTTTTCAGTTCCGAAGGCCTGTGAAAGCCTTTATCGCACATGTCACACTTATGAGGATAGTCTTTTGTGTGGACTGAAATTATGTGTCGTTTCAGATCACTCGAGTTTGAGCTCTTATGGTCACAATGCAAACACTGATGTGTTTTACTTTCTTGATGCATAAGCGTATGCTGCTGTAGCTCTTTGGTATCTGAAAAAGTCTGGAAACAAATATCGCACTTGAATGGCGTTTCCTTACTGTGTTTAGTCTTTACATGAGTTTTCAAGTTAGAAGAGTCGGCAGATCGGTATTCGCAATATTGGCACTGGTACGGTTTTTCACCAGTGTGGATTCGCATGTGCTTCTTGAGCTCTGACGGATGGCGAAATCCTTTGCCACACTCCACGCAAATATGAGGAAAGTTCTTGCTGTGGACAGCTAAAAGGTGATGACTCAGTAATCCTTGTTCTGCTGTCTCATAATCGCAGAATTTGCACTTGTGCATTTTATTAACTCCTTTGTCCCTGTGCACCATCTTGTGAGTAAATAAAGTTCCTGCATGAGAGAAGCTTTTCCCACACTCATCGCACTCAATAAGCTTTTCTGTTTTGTTGGTCAGCTTATGACTCTCCAAGTGGTTATGTAAACTTATTTTTTTATTCGTAGTGTAATCACAGTCTGTGCATCTGTATTTCTTCTTAGTAAGAAGGTGCTCTGGGTGGTTTTTCATGTGCCTTTTCAAGAAACCTCTAGATTTAAATTTCTTTCCACAAATCATGCAGGGGTAGACTGTCAACGGATGACCATCAGGGCCAATGATTATTGCTGAAAAACAACAAAAAACCTTTCCTCAATATGATACAACAATATTACGCTTCAATAAACGTCGTATTTCGACCTTAACAATAATAAGCTGAATTGTTAAATAAGATCAGAGGCAGACACATACACTGTAGTGTATAATAAACAAGCTTGTTACTGGGTTAGGTAGAAGAAATTGAGGGAATTACTGCTTCCATTCATTATCAGGAGAAAGGAAATCCTGCTTTTTGATGGAGACAACCAAAGCATCACCCAGCTGTTCTTCACCTCAAATAATTCTACTCTGAAGAATTCTGACCGAGTTCACACCATTAAATACATGCAGAAACCGACGCTGGTGCAAAGAACAGCAAGCCAGCTTGTTAAACTGAGTACTACATAGTAAGCATAGCACGTGATCTTCTTTGACTTTGCACGAATCCGTAGATAAAGTTTAATCCGGCAGTTTAATCACCTACCGCTGACTACAATTCACACGTCCCCAAACTAACACCTCCTTCTTGTGCCATCTGTCACAGCTACAATCTGAAGAGGTATCAAGGAGGAATCAATGAGAATGCATTTCACATACAGACACCTCAAAGCTTTGGAACTTATTTGCACTCATCCGTCAGCCTGATTTGTTTACCCTGAATTTGTCTAGGCATGCTAAAAAGCTCTCTTTTCCAAAAATGTTTTAGAAGGAGAACTGACTAGGTAGCTGGAAATAGAAAAAGCAAACTTCAAGATTAAAATTTGCCTGGTTTACTAATTCAGTGCTAGACAAAACAGAAGTCCTACAGTTAAGTCACAATTTGGGAAGAAACTTTTAGTATCATTTAAGGCAAGGCTACTAAAGAAAAGAGTCATGTGCTCTTCCAACTTTATCAGACCAAATAAATCATTCAGACCATAACAAGTAACAGCAGAAACCAAATAATGCCAGAACAGCGCATCTGTTCTTACAGATGCAAGTAAGAACACTGGCGTGAACATCAAGGCAATTTGTTTCACAATTAAAACAGAAAAGGGTATGGAAGTCACACTACCTACTGTAACATGTGATGTTCGGATTTTCCAGTTACTTATTGAGCTGATATAATGAAATGTATTGTTCGATATATTTTCAATAAAGACAAAAAGGATTTTTAAAAGGTACTATTACAGAACACTGTTTATCTAACATCACTTTAACCCAAACCAGCTATGTATTTTAAAACTTTAAAATAAAATATGCACTCATTTAGGATGTAGAAATGTTGCCAATGAAACAATTCCCAAAATAGTCACTGTTTTTTACAAGACATCGCACACCCCACCAGCAAAGTACATCTGTTTATGGGTAAGTGCCTAGAGGAATGAGAGTACGGCCAGCCACCAGAGACTCGCTCACCTGTTTGATACTGCCTGGACTCAGGTCTCCTCTTTTTCTTTGGTTTTTGCTTAGCCAGTCTCCCAAGTCCAGCTGACTCATCTATGTGCAAAAGAGCACTTGCAGTGCCATTCCGACTTTCAATGCCATCGTTATTATTACCTACCAAGATAAGTTAAAAAGTTACCTGCTGTCATCACTCTATAGATTATTTGAGCAACAAACTCTACAATGGTAGTCAAAGAAATGATAAACCATTACCTGGACATTTAATCAAACCATAACAATGTACAGGATGAGCTGCAAAAATTCTCTGTATGTAATTTACAAATTATGTTTGGTATTATGAACCTGGAAGGATTGGCTTTGTTAAACTAACTTCACAGGAGTACACAATTTACAGGAATAAATGCTTTTCCATTTCACAGAGTTCTCCTTTAAATGCAGTGGTTTTTGCATTTCTCTGGTTGCTAATTATGCCCAAAATGTTTAACATCAGTAAACAACAGCATGTCACAGTATTTACTGTGTCCCATTTTTTTCTCAGTCCTGAAATACATTCATCTGTGAGCTCCCGTTCACTTCTGGACATCTGAATTCACCTGACAGAAGTTTCTCCCACACCAAGTTTCAGAACTGGAACTGCGATCAAAGAATTGTTCTGAACAGCCCATAAACCTGCCCAGAGAGTACACTACTTACTATTTGCACACCTGATGCTTTAACACTTACAAATTCTTTCTATGGGGAACAAAGAGCATGCTCAGTATTGTATAATAGAAAGAAGGAAACAATCTTTGTCTCACAGAGCTTCGTGTTTAATACACAAATGGTATCACTGGATATAAAACAAACATGAAAATTACAAGTAAATATAACTATATATTTGGGAAGGTATTTATTGGCAATCAGTTTGGTGATTTAATTGCGTAAGAAAATTTTAATAATAAATTTTGTGGTTAAGTATTTACTTGAATAAATAGAAGGCAACAATTCCTAGTGAAAGCAAAGCACACAAATAAGACAGGAAGTTTGAAGCAGAACAAAGTGCAAGACGCTCAGTAACTGTTCCCTTTGTCGAGTGCCGAGAATGAATAGCCATGATTAATGTAGGAAGACTCAGCGCCAGGAACGGGCATGTGCAGAGCCTGAAGATTCTGATCTATATGCTAGCTCAAGTGTTGAACAGCAAATGTGGCAAGTGACAAACGTTGAAAACAAAAACCCATTTCACATCTTACATGTAGAAAGTCCACAACAGGTGCATGAAGAGTCCTTCTAGAGTATAACACAAAACAGGCCCCAAACATTTTCTAATACTAGAATAAAATTGCAAAAACTTTCTGGAATGTAAAACACAGTGGGACTGGGCTTTGCTGTAATACAGCAACAAAACAAATTTAACATTTTAAGATGCCATTGTTATCAGCTCTTAAACCCTCTTTAAGTGGAGAAGAGTCCTGAGAAGTGCAGATGACAAACCTCTGCCATTTTCACGCCTTCAGGCTGCATTATTTCTTCCCTTCCCTACCACCTCTCACCTTGCATGTTAGGTTGCTTGCTGCTGACAGTGCAATGACTCCACTGTTACCCACATTCTTAAATTCTCCTTTCAATTCCATCTCTCTGTTCCTAATACACTCTGCTCAATTTTCTCCTCCTCCAAAACCACTGAATGTCCAGTCTATGACTGTTGTTTTGAGTTCATTTAATTTCATTTTTTTAATTCCCACTTGACCTGGCTTCTGTGCTTTCCTCTTCACTGAAACTGTGTTCACCAGCATGCGGCCAAAGATAAGGCTCTGGGTGCACTACCATCCATCTCCTAAGCAACTTTTAAAACACGCTCCTCCCTGAAATCTTGCCCTCCCTTGACTTACGACCGTGATTCCAGCCCCCATCATGTTCTCAGCACTTCCCTGCCATTTGTTTGCTGGCACCATCACGACAATCCACATCATGCAGACATACAGCCTAAGTTTTGTCCTCTACTCCACTATTTCTTCTGCTTTGTTTACTCAAAGTATGTCTAGAAGAAGAACGGGGCAATACAGAAGTATTTCTAAGATAAGGTTTTGATCTACCAGCTTATGTAAGTTTTGGAAATCAGTCTGTGCACCAGTTGGTGCTCAGATAGTGATGTTCAAGAAACATGGTTCTGCATGCTGGAAATATTCTCAAGGTTCTGTTACAATTTTAAGATGTCTCCCTCAGCTTCTTTTTTGTTAATCAACTTATTATTTCCATTAGTAAAATCACATATTTATATGTTCCTTCTAGAAAGCATTTAAATCAAGCTAGAGGTCAGTGTTGCTTTTCACTGTTACACTGAATCTTACATATTTCCTTCTGCTTTTTTTTCCCCCCAAAATAAAAATATTCAGTTCTATTCCCAAGACAGCTCCTACTGTGTCCTAAAACTGTGAAGGACAGATGTCCTTGAGATGCAATTTTTCAGCTGAAAGCTCGTGCACCTCCTCTTCTATGTCATGAAAATATGAAGGAAAATGCCTGTTAAAATTGGAATAAGAAGCAGCCAGCCTTACAGCTTCTCTCTTCTTCTCTTTTTAAGGCTCATTATGCCAAGAAACCATTCTTAAACTAAAACTTTAAAAACAAACACAAAAACACAAATACTCCACTACCCTCCAAAAAACAATCCCCAACCTTTTGCTATAGACAACGTCACCAGGAAGAATTCTTTGAGTATTACCTACCATAAGCTGCTGCCCAAGCTATGGGCATGAAAGTTTTAATTTCAGTGTCATCAATTTGCTGTTCATGTGCCACTGCTGCATCCTCCTCTCCTACAATCACTTCCATATAAACCTCATCAGCTATTTCTGCAACATCTAAGAGAAAAAGAAGTCAAGAAAAAATTAATACAAACACTGCACTGTTGAAAGCGAAAATCCCTGTTCCCAAATGAAAGCCACCTACTTACTTAAGTCTTCGTCTTCATGCTGAGAATCATTTACAGTCATGTAAACCATTTTCTCCCTTGGAATACGAATACTGCTATTTTGATCGAGTAATCCAACTGCGTGGTCATTCTCTGGCTCACTCTCCACAATGTCCACTGTGCCCCCTAATTAGGAAGACCAGAGCAAAATATTTTAATACACTTTGTTCAAATTCTATGCTAAAGTGCAGAAAATGGAAAGTTTGTCACTCTTTAACATTAGACCCATGGCTCTTTACAGATGACTTGAGAGAAACCACAGTCTCTAATTATGCAAAATTTCAAATGTCAGGTTGGAGTATTCTAAAATGAGCTTATTTTACCTAAATCATCTTCTCCAGGATCTGCTTTGAATATATAGACCTTGATGACTTCTGGACAAATGCCATCCACTTTACAAGAGCCACTTTCTGACTCTGCTTCCATGGTAATTTCAGCAGAACCTTCGTGTTCTATCTTACCAGCATCATCCACTACAAAAACAAGTTATTACAATTATCCAGTCATATACAGACAGACATATATGAAAGACTTTATTACTTTATTACTCAAATTTGGAAGCAGTTTAAAATTACACTGTGATAAAGAACCTACCTAAAATAAATATTTTTTTTCATATCCTTGAAAACAACGACAATAAGCACAGAAATAAATCAAGCCGTACCTTCTAGTTAAGGGGGAAGTGCAAGAGTGCTGCAGTGATATGACTAGAAGCATGAGCACCACACCAGGCAATGCTAATAGGGAAACAGTGATCTGCAGCAAGATGATGGTAGGAAGAAACTGCACATTAGTACTTACTCTGTGGCATAATTTCACTTATTCTCAGTTTTAATTGCTTTCTCCTTCACAACTAATAAGCTATTGTTTTTTTCAAAAGCATTATCTGTTGCTCAACCCCGTCTCTAATGCAAGCCAGTCAGACCTGGTGCCTTGCAAAGCGGTGTTACTGACACTTCTTCAGCTGACTAGAGAGGAAACCTAAATGAAAACTACAGGAAGAAAACCCTCCATTTTTCTCATCTACTGAACACCTGAGGGATCGAGCACAGCGTCAAAAGCGCTGCCCTGACGCTACAGCACTGGTGGACCTATTCAACTAATTGTTCATGGTGCCCTTACCGAAAGGGACTTGCACTGGATTTTATGCTGTAGCCCTATATACTCTCCTTACTATTGTCTCAAATTTTGCTCTCCTCCTTTCAGAAGTGCACCGACACCACGCTTCAGTTTGAATTGCCATAACTTGCCTAGGCCTCCCACGTAAACATGGCTAACAGCCAGCTTTGTGAGAAACACATTTCTCATTTTTAAAACATACTCTACATAGGCACATGCACACACACACACCATCTTACTTTACCAAGTGTCGGTTTTCAAGAAATAAATACTAAACAGGCATTCACAAAAATAAAATCCAGCATCTCAAGACCTTCAGAGAATCCTCCAATTTCAGAAGCCTCAGAAGTTTCTTGAGTATTGAGGTTATTTAAGAATTCTTAACATGATGGCATACTTTTGTAATTTGTGACTTTATTGTTGATAAAGTCACTTTTGGAGGCTGACATGGCTCCCTCAGAGACATGCATAACTTCAATTCATGACAACAAGGCATGAAATTTATACTAAAGGAAGTGTAAGAACCGTCCCATAAATGCTGTAGAATGTTTAACTACCATGACTAGCACATGCAAAATACTTAATAAAATATGTTTATTTTACTGGCACTCATTAAACTACCCTCGTAACTAAATCATAGCTTTACTACTCAGTAACTGCAACTCTTCCATTTACTTTAAGATGTACTTAAAAAAAAAAAAAGCTCAAAACATTATTACTATTATTTTCCTGCCATGGAGTCAATAAATTATCCTTTAAATTAGATAAACTAGCATGTGTTCTGTCTCATGTATCAAACACAACCATATTTAAGTACAATTTCTCAATCGAGCATCATTATTCACAAAGAAATATGAGTAACATTAAATTATGAAGCACTACAATAAGTTAAGTCTCTCTCTCCCCTCACCAAAAGAGCAGCAGAAAAAACATTACATACTCTTATGGCAGGTTCATGATCAATGGCCACCATCCAGAATGTTTCAAGCAGTATGATGTTTAAAAAATGATTTTGTGCCACAGGACAACATAACATCTTGTAGCTGAAACCCCAAAGCATTTCAAAAGTAAAAACCTTACGACGC